GACTAACACAGTGAAACCCTGTCTCTACTAAAAGTACAAAAGAATTAGCTGGGCATGGGGGCGGGCACCTGTAGTCCCAGCTACTCGGGAGGCTGAGACAGGAGAATGGCGTGAACCTAGGAGGCAGAGCTTGCAGTGAGCTGAGATCGCACCATTGCACTCCAGCCTGGGGGACAAGCGAGACTTCGTCTCAAAAAAAAAAAAAGAAAAGAAAAGAAAAGAAAAAGGAAATAAAAGAAGGAAAGAGGCCTGGATTCAAATCCCAGACCTGCCACATTCTAGCTGTGTGACCTTGGGTAAGTCACTTTACCTCCCTGTGGCTCAATTTCATCTACAGTGAGCTGCCCACACCTAGCAAAGGAGTATATCCAGTAAGCTTATTTGCTGCAATGTATTAAGGACCTACTATGTGTCAGGCATTGTCCGTTATTACAGCTAGGCATCAGGCATTTCAATCACACGCCTACTTGACACTCACCAACATATCCCAACACAAAAATGGGATGGACATATGACTCTGACGAAGCGGGTGGCCATTTCTGAGTTCTTGGCCTTTGTCTTAGTTCAGATGCTGGCCCATATAACAGAGGCCCTGCTAATGTTTTGTGGTGTTTGTTTGTTTGTTTGTTTGTTCGTTTGTTTCTGGAGACAGGATCTTGCTCTGTCGTCCAAACTGGAGTGCAGCGGCACAGTCAGGGCTCACTGCAGCCTCAACCTCCCAGGCTCAAGCGATCCTCCCACCCCAGCCTACCTAGTCACTGGAATTACAGGCACACGCCACCACGCCCAGCTAATTTTTGTATTTTTCTGTAGAGACAGGGTTTCCCCATCTTGCCCAGGCTGGTCTCAAACTCCTGGGCTCAGGTGATTCTCCCACCTTGGCCTCACAAAGTGGGGATTATAGGGGTGAGCCACCGTGCCTGGCCTAATTGTCTTAAATACACAAGGGTTGATTCCGTCACATAAAAGAAATCAGAATAGGCCAGTTAGGGCTGATATGCCACTCCACAGTCTTCAGGGACCAGATTTCCCTCATGCTGCTTGTTCTGCCTTCCTTTGTGGGCTGACTCATGGCCCAGGATGGCTGCTCAAGCTCTGGCCACCTCGTCTGAATTCCAGCCAGCAGGAAAGAGGACATGAGGGATGAAGAGCACTCCTCCTCTTAAAGAGAATTCCAAGGAACACCACATCACACTATTGCTTCAACTCATGGGCCAAAACTAGTCACAGTGCTATTCTTAGCTTCAAGGAAGCCTGGGGAGTGTGCCCAGCTATAAATTTGAGTCCTTGTGACTAAAGAAACGGGAGAGTGAGTTGTAGCCAGCACCTTGCAGTCTATTCTGTAGCTTTATTTCCAATTTGGGGACTTTTCCAGGGAAAATCCTCACAGCCAACCTCTGGTGAAACTATCCTGTGTTCCCCTTTTTACAGTGGAGAAAATTGAGAGCCAGAGGGGTACAGGGGCCTGACCAAGGTGTCACAGCTAGTGAGCAGCAGAGCCCTTCTGGGGTAGCCTAGAGCTGTAGGCATCGGCTGGGCACAGTGGCTCAGGCCTGTAATCCCAGCACTTTGGGAGACTGAGGCAGCAGGATTTCTTGAGGCCAAGAGTTCAAGACCTGGGCAACATAGGAGACCCCATCTCTACAAAACATTTACAAATTAGCCAGGCATGGTAGCATGCATGTGTAATCCCAGCTACTCAGGAGGCTGAGGTGGGAGGATCACTAGAGCCCAGGAGGTCAAGGCTGCAGGGAGCTATGGTTGTACCACTGCACTCCAGCCTGGAGGAGAGAGAGAACCCATTTCTCTCTCTCTCTCTCTCTCTCTCTCTCTCTCTTTCTCTTCATTTTTCTTTTTTCTCATGCTATTTTGACAAAAAGCCCATCCCTAAAAAAAAAAAAAAAAAAAGGCTGCCGGGCACAGTGACTCAGGCCTGTAATCCCAACACTTTGGGAGGCTAAGGCCGGTGGATCACTTGAGGCCAGGAGTTCGAGACCAGCCTGGCCAACATGGCAAAACCCCTTCTCTACTAAAGATACAAAAAATTACTGGCATGGTGGCACACGCCTATAATCCCAGCTACTCAGGAGGCTGAGGCAGGAAGATCGCTTGAACCCAGGAGGTGTAGGTTGCAGTGAGCCAAGATTGCGCCACGGTACTCCAGCCTGGGCAACAGAGCAAGACCCTGTCTCAAAAAAAAAAAAAAAAAAAAAAAAAAAGCTTCAAGCAAAGAATGAGAGCTTCTACACCACCTTTCTGTTTATCAGGAGATTCCTTCCTGCCCCCAAAGGATCCAGATTTTTTAGAGAAACATCCTTCATCTTTATTTAATAAATTCTAAAACAGCAGTGAACATAGAGCCTTCCCACCCACTCTGGATTTGAGAGCCACTGAGGAATGGAGTCATGGGTTTGGTGACTGGTTGGCTGTGGATGCTCAGGGCAACGCTGAGACCCAGAAGTTTGGCTGGAGGTCCCTGGGGAGGGCTGGGCTCCACACACCCACCGTGATGCTCACTCACTGTCTCCTGCAGGTCAGCGGCCACCTGGACTATGCCAAGCAGATGGACGCCATCCTGAAGGCTGTGGGCATCCGTACCAAGCCAGGCTGGGACGAGAAGGGGCTCTTGCTGGCCCCAGGCTGCCTGCCCCCCGAGGAGCCTCGCCAGGCAGCAGCTGCCGCCTCATCAGGAGATATTCCCCACCATGTTGGGCAAACCCAGGGTCCCACATCCGGAGACACCTCCAAATTGGCCATGTCCACAGACCCCAGCCAAGCCCAGGTGCAGGCAGGGCTGGACCAATCTGAAGGGGCCTCCCTTCCTGCTGCTGCCAGCCCTGAAAGCACCCCCATCTGCAGCCATGGCACGGACCCCAACCCACTGGGCTGCCCCGATTGTGCCTGCAAGACCCAGGGCCCCAGCCCGGGGCTGGACTGACCACAGCAGGGGACCTGAGCCGTCCTTCCCAATCTCTGTATGCAGCTCGCTCTCATACCCTCGGGTTCCTCCCAGGAGCTCTGGGGGTGCGGAATTTCCATCGGTCTCTTTCCTAAACTGAAGGAATTAGGACTGAAAGGGAAAGGAAATGGAAGGAAGGAGAATTTGGAAGAGAGAACACGCCCATCCTGGGGAAGCTGCCTATCCCCAAGGAAACCCCACCAGGGAGCAGCTGTCCCCTCATCAGAGACCTGCAGAGTCAACCAAGCACGGGTTAGAGCCCCAGAACTGGAAGCCAGCTGTGGGCTTTCTGTGCTTCCTCTCATAGCTTTGGAGTCTGGCTGCCCATCAGGAGGTCCCGGGGGCTCTCTGGGACCTGAGGCTCCCACACCACCTCTCCCCTGGCCTCAGTAAAACCAGGTGTATGCCTGCTCTTCCATCCACACTCCAGGGCTGCCCACCAGCTGACAGCCACCATCAACTGGCAGTAACCGAGCAGGCGCAGGTACAAAGAGGGCGGCTCACTCCTGCTCTTAGGAGATCCAATCAGATCTGCCCTGTACAGCCATGCAGGCTGTGCACTGCACAACTCCAGGGACATTAGTCACACAGATGCAATGTGAGTGTGCTCCCCCATCACGCAACATCTGGACATAACTAACAGAGCATGGTGAATACGTGCTGAATTGCTTTCAGTAAGGCTGTGAGCTAGGCCTGGGGACAAGAATGAATTTTACATGGAAAGAATTTCCTGTAGCAGGAACAGAGAGGATAACAACAGCAATAAATAACAATAAGAAGCTACCACTTCTTGAGCATGTACCACATACCAAGTGGTTGCCTGGGATGTGTCAGTTGCCCTTCACAGCAATCCTATGAGGTAGGGACTATTATTATCTTCATTTGATATTTGGGGAAACTGAGGCTCAGAGAGATCGGGTAACCTGCTGAAGGCCGAACAGCTGGTTAGTGATGGAGCCAAGTTCCAGGCCCCTGTATGTCAGACTCCAGTGCCCAAGCCCCAAGCCACTGGGTCTGCATCCGTGAGAGCCTTCCTCTTTGTTCCTCCCACAGTACCTGAATGACAGGGCCAGAGATAATGCACTCCCGTTGTGCAGATGGGGAAATCAAGGCCCAGGCAGAGGAAGAATTGACAAGCTCTGGGGGAGGTGGGAGGAGGGCAGCAGAAATTAAGTTGTAGAACATAGGAGCCAGATCACTGCTCAAGTGCATGTGTATTCATTTGTATTCATTTGTTCATTCAGCACACATTTATGGCTCACGCCTGTAATCTCAGCACTTTAGGAGGCCAAAGTAGGAGGATTGCTTGAGGCCAGGAGTTGGAGATCAGTCTGGGCAACATAGCGAGACCTGGTATTGACAAAAAATTAAAATAAAAAAATTAGCCACTGCCAACTACTCAGGAGGCTGAGGCGGGAGGATTGCCTGAGCCCGGGAGTTTGAGGCTGCAGCGAGCTATGATTGTGCCACAGCCTGGGTGAAAGAGTGAGACTCCAACTCTTATTTTTTTGAGACAGAGTCTTGTCTTGTCACCAGGCTAGAGTGCAATGGCATGATCTCGGCTCACTGCAACCTCCACCTGCCGAGTTCAAGGGTTTCTCCTGCCTCAGCCTCCCGAGTAGCTGGGATTAAGGCACCTGCCACCACACCCGGCTAATTTTTGTATTTTTAGTAGAGATGGGGTTTCACCATGTTGACCAGGCTGGTCTCCAACTCTTGACCTCAGATGATCCACCCGTCTCAGCCTCCCAAAGTGCTGGGATTACAGGCATGAGCCACCGTGCCAACTCCAACTCTTAAAACACAAAATTTAAAAACAAATATTTATGCAACTCTTGTTGCTTTTAAACTAAACTGCCCGTGTCACACATGGGAAATGGAGGCTCTGAAAGGAGAAAGAATTTTGCTGGGGTCCCAAATTAAAGGGGCAGAATCTGGACCAGAACCCAGGACACCTACCCCCAGGCCTCCTCCCACTATACCAGCTGCTTCTCAAGCCCTGAGTGGCCCTTCAGTTGAATCCAGTCCACACGACAGCCACTGCCTTCAGCTGGAGTTTATTGAGAGTCCCCTTGGGCAGGCCTGGGGGATAGAGGAAGCCCCACAAGCACCATGGCCCCTCAATGGCCCGTGGCCGGAGCCAGAGTTGTGTCTCATCAGCACCAAGGAGAGCGCCAGGCCAGGTATGGAGGACCCCCTGGGAGTTTGTGTTGATGGAACTTGGGGGAGGCAGGGCTGAAAAAGGACCTATGGCAGGTAAACTGTGGCGACCAAGAGTTCCCCAGCCCCCTGCCCCCAGAAACCAAGGCCCCTGTGCCAGAGTCCACCTGCATGCCTCGTGGGCCCCACCCACACCAGGGACAGCTCTTCTTCGACTCTGCTCTGTTGACCCAGGTAGCTACCATTCCCGTTTCTCTCACTGACCCCAGGGAAGGCCAGAGGGAGGTGGGCAAAGGGCTGGGTTTATCCCCATCAGTTGTTCTCTTCTAGGTCCAAGGACCCCCCAGGATCAAGGTAAACCAGTCCTGAGGCTGAAAAAGAAACTGCCACCTGCCCCTTTTGCCCCCAGGAGAGGCAGTGCAGCAGCTTGGGAGCTGGGAGGGTCCCTGAGAGATGGGGTCCCCACCCAGGAGCCAGAACAGGGAGTTGGGGAACCAGAGTCAGGCTGTGGGAGGCCAGGCCGGGGCTGAAGAGGGGGAGGCAAATGGAAAGAGAACAATGGAAAGAAAGAGCCCTTCCTGACACACAGCCAGAGAGGCCAGGGGGCGGGATAGCGGGGGGTCGTAGCAACAGAACGTATCACTTAACTGACCAGGTACTGGGTGCTGGGCCCACATTATCTTAATTCTCAAGACAACCCTGCAAGATCATTTCTCTATCTTACAGATGGGATAACCGAGACTCGGAGAGGTTAAGTAACTCGTGTCTGGCCCCAGAGCTCATAGGTGGTAGGGCAGAGGCCCACATGTGTGCCTGCCTGCCTCCCAGGTGCAGCTGCTGCCACATATATACCAGGGTGGGGGGATTGGCAGGTCCAAAAACCCTCCAGCAAATCATTCTCAGGGTTAAAGATCATCTAAGGCAGCACATCTCAGACTGTAACAGGCACGTGATTCACCTGGGATCTTGGTAACATGCAGTTCTGACTCAGCAGGTCTGGGCAGGGGCAGAAATGTGCATTTTGCACAAACGCCCAAAGGTGATGGCAATGCTGATTGTCCATGGACTACACTGTGAGTAGCGAGGGGTTCAGCCCAGCATTAATCCATGCCTGCGGGTGGGGGCATTCCCTGCTGTCCAGCCTGACAGAATGGGCAAAAGCCATGATTGTTTACACCCTAACCTGGACCAAGAGGTCCTTCTCCCCAACATCCGGAGTCCTCCAGCCCATCCTCTGCACACACAAGTTACACTCGACGGTGGAGCATCCTTCGGAACACGGTATCTGAGTCAGCTATGATCCCTGCAGGTAAGGGGCCTGGAGATGGCAGCAGGGGCCGGCTCTGCACACCCCCCTGGAGCTCAGAGGGCTCCCAGGAGACTTGCAGCCTCCTGGTCTTAGCCAAGAGCTGGCCCAAGGCCTCAGGGTCTGGGTTCTGCTCAGTCCAGCTCCCCACTGGCCAGCCCCAAGCCCGGGTCAGTTCGTGGGGGTGCCAAGTGGATGCAGCCGCAACTTGGGCTCTGCGGGGTCGATGTTGAAGAAGTTGACAGCGGCAGCGGCCCTGGTGGGCAGCGGGGGGTCCCGGGTGGCCTCGCCAGGAAGCAGCAGCTGGGCCGTGAGCTGCAGGCCTGAGGAGCCGCCCGAGCCTGCGTCTGAGTCCGAGTCTGAGTCCGGCGGCAGGGGCAGCGGCAGTACCTGCTGTAGACTAAGGCCGGGCCGGGGACCGCTGTGAGAGGTGCGCAGTGATGGTGAAGCCAGGCTGGCCTGGCGCTCCCAGGGACAGCGTGGACATGGCAGGAACCTGCCCAGCGCCCGCTTGAAGTCCCGCATGAAGAGTGGGTAGATGATGGGGTTCATGGTGCTGTTACAGTAACCCAGCCACGTGAGGGCATCGAAGAGGCCTGGGGAGATGCAGTCGCACACGGCCTGAGGGGAGGGGATGCGTCATGCCTGGTCCCAGGGCAGGGACCCAGGCCACCCTTCCCAGCATGGATGGAGCAGACACACACACGCACCACGAGAGGCAGCCTGCCCTCCCCTGTCCCCATGCCTGGACTGGGATCCAGGACCTCTCATGCAAGGGCCGGACTCACCTGCCCCCTGCTGTGGCATTACCTGAACTATATTGGCCACAAAGAAGGGCAACCAGGTCACAAAGAACATGCCCAGCAGGATGCCCAGCGTCAGGCTGGCCTTCAGGGCCTTCCTGCTATGCTTCGTAGCTAGACGCCTGCTGTCAGCAGACTCCACCCCTGGGCGTGGGGTCCTGGGCACCTGCGGAAAGGAAGGCCACACGAGTCAGTTGAGAAAGGGCCCCCATCTGACCCTGATCCTAGCCACAGACTGAGCTTCAATCCCGATTCTAGACTGAGCCCTAGTGCCAGGATTAAATTGAGCCCTGTTCCTTGACAGAGTCCCAGCTAGAGTCCTAGACCGAGCCCTGACCCTGACTCCGGGCCAAGCCCTGACATCAGCAATAAACTAAGCCCTGACCTTGGTCCCCAGCTGAAGCCTGACACCTACCATAAAGCCCTACATAACCAAGGTCTCAAACCAAGCCTCAACCGTGGACCTAGACTGAGCCCTGATCCTGATCCCACACTGAGCCCTGACCCTGACCCAGAATTTCATAAGGAGCTCTAGGAAGTGCAGTGAGACAGAAGAATACCTGAAACACAAATCAGATGGTTCAGAACAACCATCCCTGCAAAGACAATATGTGACACAGGCCAACACACACATTACAATGTGCCCAGCACCTTCCAAAGCCTTTAGTGCTACAGAAATCAATTGCAATTGACCGGGCGCAGTGGCTCATGCCTATAATCCCAGCACTTTGGGAGACCGAGGCAGGCAGATCACTTGAGGTCAGGAGTTTGAGACCAGCCTGGCCAACTGGGTGAAACCTTGCCTCTACTAAAAATACAAAAATTAGCCAGGCATGGTGGCAGGCACCTGTAATCCCGGCTACTCAGGAGGCTGAGGCAGGAGAATTGCTTGAACTCGGGAGGCAGAGGTTGCAATGAACCAAGGTCGTATCACTGCACTCCAAGCCTGGGTGACAGAGCGAGACTCCATCACACACACACACACACACACACACACACACACACACACACACACACACACATCAATTGCAGTTGAACAGTACTTGAAAAAGAGGACCTATTACTGTCCAGAGCTTGGCAATTGCTTTGTATGTGGATTCTCTTCATATTTGGGAGCAATAGTCTTGCCTGGGCAATTACTCTTGAGCCCCACAAAATAGAAAGCCTTTTTTGAGAATGTGTGCACAAAGCCAATAAGTTTGCAGCTAAATCTCTTGTTAGGTTCCTAAGGATGCTGGTGACCTTGGCATTTTACAACTCAATTATACTGCGAACTGGCAGGCATCTCCATTCTCAAAAGTGGACAGGAAGAGGATGAGGGGGTAGGAAGAAGGAGCAGAAATAAGCTACTTCCCAGCAGCTACTGAAAGGAAGGCATAGGCCCGAGGAGGTTAGAATTTGACTTTGCAAACTGGCCGCCACAGTCCCAACGGGCTCTCTGAGCTGGATGATTCTTCAGCTCAGCAGTGCTCTTCACTTGTTAAACTTCATGTGCCCTTTGAAAAGCTAACAAAATCTACACACACACACACACACACACAACACCTCTCCCCAGAAAATAAAAGACTTACAAATTTTTATACACACACACAGACAAGAAAACAACATTCCACACTTTCAGAAGGTTCAGAGATGACCTTGAAGTCTCTAGGTTTCCACCAGAAACCCCAAGGAGTCCGTGAAAGCTGGGATGTGAAACCCTCCTCTAAAACATGTGTTTTTGTAATCAATGTGGATTTTCATATATTAGATTTACACAAAATGAGGCCCACCTCTATTTACTATTTAATGCACGTGGGCAGTGGTGTGCACAATTCATCATGAGCTACGCAAAAGGTGTGCGTGCTGTCTGGGAACACATCTGGGCTTTGACAGCCGGGGGTTTTCCTGGCACTGGGATTTGCCCAGTTCCTAAATTGCACGAGAGCCCTGCTTAGTTCTTGAGGCCAGAGGTGGGTCGGATGTGGGGAGATGAGGTCAGAAGGAGGCAGGAGCGGAGCTAGATTCCCAGGCAGCCTTCCACAGATGGAAAGGTGGAGGAGGCAAAGCCAAGATGTGTCAACTCCAGGGAGCACCAAAGTCAACACCCCACCCCATTCTGCTGCGCATGCCCTCTCCTCCAGCCCCTGCTCTTTCTAGGCCTCCAGAGTTGGTGTCTTGTCCATGGTGCTGAAACCCCAACTACATGCGGTCTTTTCATAGGAGCTGGAATTCTAATTCTGAAATGGCAAGGAGGTCGCTGGGGCAGGGAGACGAAGCACATTGTAATCCCCATCCCTCAACATGTTTCTTCACGTGAAAACTGGTTGTACAAATATCAAGGTTATACAAATTCACAACAGAGGCCTTGGTTTCTCCCTTCTGTCTTGGTCTTGTACAGAGGCAAAAGCTGGGCTTTTAAGACAGGTGATCTGGCTTCAAATCATGCCTCTACCACTTACTCGCTCTGTGATCTTGAGAGAGCCTCTGTTTCCACATCTGTAAAATGGGAGAAATGATACTCAGCTTACGACGTCACTGTGAAGCTATGGATAATAAATGCATGCACAGTGTCTGACGTTGAGTAGGTGCTAAATACCTGGTAGCCATGTTGCTGTTTCAGTGTTGCGAGATTGGGGTGATTTTGAGCACTGTTGGGGACCCTGTCCTTCTGCCAGCAGCTCTGGCCTCCCCAAAGCAGCACAGATGCCAAGACAAATGCTCTGACTCACCATGCTGCAGCTCAGATGCTATGGTGAGAGGATGCTCTCCTCCGCCTCCACCCCATCATACACAAGTCTGCTCCAAAGTCATTCCAAGTTAGCGAGGGAGCAAAAGAGGGTTTTACTCTCCTCCCTCCTCTTCTAGTTTTCTCTCCTCCAGAGTGGACTCTATATGGCTTTTGTGACCACACCATGGTCAGCCTGGAGGAAGAGGCTCCTGCTTCCCCAAAAGAATCTCCTAAGACCTGCCACACCTTCAAATTGCTGCCATCAATGGGAATAGACGGCATGGAGAGGGAGGAGACACTGTCTCATCCAGGCATCACTCCGACCCTTAGTGACCTGGGGAGGACAGGGGACAGGAGGCAGCCTTGATCTTATCAGAGCTCTAGGGCATGGGGGAAACTGAGGCACTAGGGGGAGTATCTCAGGTCAATCACTGTGAGAAGGAGCTCCAGAGAATGGGGTGAAGATGAACTGAGATTCCCTTTCTAGTCTCCCTGGGAACAAATCCAGATTTTTCTTTCTCCTCTGCTTTCCGGAGAGTTGACTCAAGAACACAGGCAAGAGGAAAGAGAGAAGGAAACTGAGACTCAGAAAGGGTAGAGTGTCCTCTGCCCTTCCCAAGGTCACACTATGCCAGCACAAGGCCTCCTAACAAAACCTGAATGGCCCCAAATCAGCATTAGGATCTCCATTTCTCGAGCACTTACTACACATAGGCATTTGATAGTCATTAGGTTGTTCAGTCTTTATGAGAGATAAGCATTGTCATCCCCATTTTGCAGATAAGACCACTGAGGCTCGGAGAGGCAAAATGACTTGCCAGAAGTCACACAGCAGGTAAGAGTTGAGTTGGGGAATCCGTCATTTCTGGCCCCAGGAACTCCACTCTGCCCACTTCACCAAGCTGCTTCCACCTTTGGAGATGGCATCCATGGGCCCAGTCAGGGTGGGGTTACAGAAACCCCACCACTGTCACCAAGAGGTCCTCATGGAGCAGAAGTCAATGGCAGTCACCAATCCACACCACGGCATCTGACTGATGCCGGCATCACTCTTCCGGATTCTCTCTCCCCTGTAACCACCTCACAGCCCCTCAGGGCCATGTCCTGTCGTTTGCATCTCCCTTCTGTATCAGTGTCAGAGGGCAGCTGCCTGAAGGACAATCCAGGGCCCTTCCAGCCAGCAATCCCACATACGGCTTCCAGCCAACACCTACATTCATGTCTGCACGCTTGACATATCCAAGAATGTGTCTCACAGCACTACTCGTGATAGGAAAAAAATTGGAAACAGCCTTAATATCCATCAAAAGAACAGTGGTTTAGACTGGGCACGGTGGCTCATGCCTATAATCCCAGCACTTTGGGAGGCCAAGGTGGGCAGATCACTTGAGATCAGTAGTTCAAGACCAGCCTGCAAGACCTAGAAGGACATATCGTAAATTGATGCATGTCCTTGGGAGTAAAAGGTGATTAGCTGGAATTTGGGGGTCTTTTCCTTCATCCCTATTGTTGAATTTTTAAAGTGTGTTTATGTATTCCTTTATGCAATTAACTTTATTTATTTATTTATTTATTTATTTATTTTGAGACAGAGTCTCACTCTTGTTGCCCAGGCTGGAGTGCAATGGCGTGATCTCAGCTCACCACAACCTCTGCCTCCTGGGTTCAAGTGATTCTTCTGCCTCAGCCTCCTGAGAAGCTGGGACTACAGGTGTGCACCACCACGCCCGGCTAATTTTGTACCTTAGTAGAGGTGGGGTTTCTCCATGTTAGTCTCAAACTCCCGACCTCAGGTGATCCGCCCACCTCGGCCTCCCAAAGTGCTGGGATTACAGGCGTGAGCCACCACGCCCAGCCCACAATTAAATTTTTTTACCATCGTCTGATCATACTGTGAGAGTTGTAAGACAGACTCTGGAGCCAGACTGCCTGGTTTCAAATTCTGGCTCTGTTACAACCTAGCAGAGTGACCTTAAGCAAGCTATGCTTCCACTTTCTGTTCTGTAAAATGGCATTATAACAGCATCTGCCTCATAGGATTATAATAAGGATAAAATAAAATAATACACAGAAAGTTAGAACAGTGCCGGCACATGGGAAGCCCCATAGAAGTGTTAGCTATTGTCGTTATTATTGGTCTCTGGCTCAGCTGTTTGATAATGGTGGTGATGGTGCTGGTGACAACAGTGATGTTTTTCCCTAGAAAGGGTCAAACAGCTGAGTGGTGAGCTCCCCAGAAACATATATTTTACCAACAACAGGAAAAGAGAGGCACAAACAACTGTTGTTGTTTTAAAGATGGGGTCTTGGCCGGGCGCGGTGGCTCAAGCCTGTAATCCCAGCACTTTGGGAGGCCGAGATGGGCGGATCACAAGGTCAGGAGATCGAGACCATCCTGGCTAACACGGTGAAACCCCGTCTCTACTAAAAAAATACAAAAAAAATTAGCTGGGCGA